AAAAAAAAAAAAAAAAAAAAAAAAATTCCCGATATATTAAATAAGGAACTGGAAACTGAGTAATGATTTATAAATCGCGAAGAGTAATTTCCTACCATTTGGATCAAAGTTGGGTTTGGAAGATTCTGACAAGAGATAAGAGGAGTGATGATTGTGAGAACAGCCAAAAGAAGAATTTGAGTGGGTCTGACTCCTTATCCAATAAGGCATTGTTGAATAGAAGGACTCCAACACTCTCCTCACGATCACGCCCATATGTTGGATCATGCTGGTATTGAGGTAGTTTCGGCTCTAACTCCTCACTCGTTGGTCAAACATTCAGCTCAACTGAACCTGGGCTCTGATACCATGATAGAATTTGGGTGAGTTGACTCCTCCTCACTCAATAAGACATTGTTGAATGGGAAGATTACCCTCTTTATAACCAGTAGGTTTGAGCGTGCTAGATGGTATGTGACTCCAACACTCAAATGTTATGTTCTCACCTAATTCGCGTGCCTAGTCGGTGTGTGATCAACACTAAATGTTGTTCTCACCTAATTCAAGATAAGGACTCCTCAACCGAGATTTGAAATTATCTTCTGAAGCTTTCTTTCATGATTTCTCCCGCCTTCTTGCTGCAATTGCTTCAACAACACTGATGAAGTAGATGAACATAAACCAATCAAAAAGTATACGAAGTTGAAATTAAAATTTTAGACTATGGAGCAATTATCAATGGTGACCTCTGATTTTAGAAATAGAGACTTTTTTCGTTAAAAACAAAAAAATAATTGTAAAAAAATAATCCAATATGTCCTAGAATGGCGTGATGTACGCTATAGGCTATAACGGCATAATTAACGTCTACAGTGGTGAAAACAAAAGCCCACCCACCACAACAGTAACACCATAGAGACTTCTATCAGTCTATCTCCAAAACTTAAACAATATATATAATTGTATGCTATTCACTATTCCATATCATAAACTTCCATTGCCTTTCCTACTATTTCTATACTTTAAACTTAAAAAACTAATTAATGGCTGAGAAAAGCAAGATTTTGTTTATTGGAGGCACGGTACATTGGGAAGTTTATTGTAGAAGCTGGCATAAAGGCTGGTCATCCTAGCTTTGTTTTGTTAGAGAGAGTACTGTTGCTGATCTATCAAGGGACAACTTGTTGAGAAATTCAAGAACTCAGGCGCCACCTTGGTTATGTATGTGTTTATATATATAATTTCTTTGTGTGAGTTGATTTTGTGGTTATGATGAAGAGTGAGATATTACAAATTAGTGTTATTATATAGTTTTGATATTACTTTGCAGGGAGATCTTTACAACCATGAGAGCTTAGTGAAAGCGATAAAGCAGGTTGATGTGGTGATATCAACAGTAGGCGCCTTGCAGTTAGCTGATCAAACCAAGATCATTGCTGCCATCAAGGAAGTGGTAATGTTAAGGTTGGTTTCTTCTTTGAATAAATCAAATATTCTTTTATTTTATAATTGATAGATACAATTCCTCAAAGTTTGATTTTAATAATTTGAAAAATGGAATTGAATTAGGGGATTTATTTATTCTTCTTGCTTGAGAAGAGAAAGAGAGAGGATGTTAATTTAATTCGGGTAGTCATGGTGTTTCCAAAGGAGACATTTCCATTGGCGTACGTAAGTGGATAGAGGTGATTTGATTTCGACCATAAATCGGTATCAATGGAGGATGCTTTGCAGACCCCGCCTCCAAATTTGGTGGTGGCGGTGGTGGGTGGACCAAAACTGCAGTTAGATTAGAATGTGTTATCAAGTAGTGGGAAAGAAATGAATACTGATGGAATAAGCTATTTGTCCTTGCTTCCTTAAACCGAGTGTCATGACTAAGGACCACGCTTCATTGTGGAGAATACTCTTACCATGATGGGACATTCATCCACATATATAACTTTCTCAGACATAACAGACCTTTATCAGTCAATTTTTCTTCAATATGTATATATATCGTAAACATTAATACATGAATTTAAAGACATGTACAAACACAACATACTGATAAGATCAATGTCCTGTTACAATAATCAGTATTTGAATGTTTCAGAGATTCTTCCCGTCAGAGTTTGGAATTGACGTGGATCGTCAGAATGCAGTGGAGCCGCAAAATCAACATTCGCAGTCAAGGCGCAAATCCGCCGTGCTATTGAGGCTGAAGGGATCCCATACTTACGTGCCTGCAACTGCTTCGCTGGCTATTTTTCTACACTTGGCCAGCGAGGAGTCAGTGCTCCCCCAGAAACAAAATCACTATAAATGGAGATGGAAACGTCAAGGATATACACTCTCTCTAAAATCGCTTAACTTTACGGAATATATTGGTATTATTTCTTGATTCCAGAAGCAGAGGAGCTGATGAGGCAGAAATTTTAGCAGAACATTGACAATGGTTCATTGAATATTAAGATTTGTTGAAACAAAATAAACTGCCTCTCCCTGCACTCATTTTTGTCTGCAGTGGTTTCAACAATGAAGCAGACATTGCAACTTATACCATCAAAGCTGTGGATGACCCAAGAACATTGAACAAAATCCTCTTTATCAAGCTCCTCAAAACACTTACACGTTCAATGAGGTTGCTGCTCTATGGGAAAAGAAGATTGAAAAACTCTTGAAAAAGATATGTTCCAGGGGAGCAACTTCTCAAAGACATCCCAGGTCAGATTCCAGTTTACCTAATCTTCTGACCTTTTTTTTTTTTAAAACATAGAGGCAATTAAAGTGGTCTGCTTCATTCTGTGAAATTTTTACAATAATTGTTGCAGAGTCTCGTTCCCACTCAACATCATGATGTCTATGAAACACTCGTTTTTTGTGAACGGTGATCAGACAAACTTTCGATCGACCATCTTTTGGAGTGGAGGCTTCGAGCTTTATCCTGATGTCAAATACACCACAGTGGAAGAATATCCCAGAAATTCGTTTGAGCTATTAAAATTATTCAACCTTTAATTAGCTGTTGCTGAATAATTATAAAGCTGTTATCATTTGCGATTTCAGCATGAAGCGTGTATTGTGTCATCGTGCTCTGTGTTTCTTCGAATCTAAGACTCTGAATCATATTTCGCTATATGTATTGAATCATATCGTGCTCTAAAGCATTTCTCTTATGATAATTTAGATTCTTTTTACCTTGCATTCACGACTTGGATATGATGCTATGATGATGACTGATTATGCTTAAAATCCAAAATTTAATAAAATGTTCAAAATAGACGGATGAGATTAATTACAAAAATATCTTCAAAGCAGAAAGATTCGAAGTAAACCAAAACAAAAGTCCCTTATAAGTAGTAAAAATGAAGAGACATTCTATGTAAATAAAACTTAACTATAACAACACATGGTAACTGAAGGAATCATGGAAGCTCTTTATCTAGCTGGAGTCCGTAAGGTTCATGTCAGCAGGTGGTTTACTGTGGAGAATATGTTCTTCCCACCAAACTTAGAATTGAAAATTTTATTAATTTATTCTTTAAAAAACACTTTGTCCCCTCCCCTACCTGAAGCTACACCCCACGTACCCAATATTTCACCAACTAAACAGCTATTCAAACTACTTGATTACCAATTTCCATTTTTGGCATTCTATGGGCTTTAGAGAAAAATTTCTAATGAGAGAAAGTTAAAAAGCATATATGAGTAAACGACCTTTTCCCACCCAAGGTTTACCTTAATGACACCTTCACACCCAAAAAGTTTCAAAATATCACTTCGCACCCAACATTTATAATATGTTGATATCCAAAATATACTTCATTTTCTCAATCGACGTTTAATGAGTTCTAGGAGCCAGGATAAGAGGTTTTTTGTAGAGTGAAGGCCGATGGATCAAATGCTGGTGACCGATTGAATATTCACCGTTGGAATCAACCGGAAATCAACTAAGAACAGAAAATCTTAACTTTGCAATGGCGAACAATCGACAAGAAATCAGGTGTCTGAGTGAGAGGGGTTTTGTAGAGAGGAGACCGAAGATTCAAATGGGAGTGACAGGGAGAATTTTCACAGCTGGAATCAACTTTGGATAATAACGAAATATTAACTTTGGGTGGGAAAGTGGCATTTTGAAACTTTTGAGTGGAAAAGTGATGTTAAGGCTAACCTTGGGTAGGGAAAAAGTCGTTTACTCCATACATAACTGCATAAATGAGTAAGACAACTCCGGAAGCCGCATGGGTCACTTTGGAGCTTTTATGTTGCGGGCATCATAAGCAAAACTAACGGCAATATTTAAACTTTATAGAGAAGCTTCTCTCTTTTTGGCGTCAATTTTCCAAGCCCTAATGAATAAACATTATGATTTAGTTAAGAGTACCACAATTCCATGATTGCCAACAACGAAGTTGGTCTCTTTTCTTTGTTTCTTTTTATTTTTTTTAACAAAAATCATCAATACCTTGTAGCAAGCAGTTGGCCCAGGAATCTATTGCTGACACGTCGTAAGTTCGACATGGTGCTTGATCATGTCATAGCTAATTGCTCAAAGAAATCCTATTTCAATCTGTTACTTATGAGATCCATTGCTGAAATCTTAAGTAATTAGAGGCCTCATCAAGGGAAGGTTGCAGCTGAATTCTAGGACTTATTCTTTATCATGTTTATGTTCAAATACAACAATTCAAAACGTGCCTACCACTCTGGCCCTGTAATCTTTGATTGCCAATTTGACATGTACATGTTCTCTTCTATTGACTTGTTTTTTATTGTAAAACTCTTGGTGGCGACTACTTCAAACCTGTGGTTCGTTAATCACATCAATGGTGGGAAATCAGAAACTCATTATAGATGGTCAGTGTCGGCTGCAAATTTCCATAGTTGGCGGGGGCACCAACTGTTCTATGTTTTTTAAGATATAAAACTTGGTGACGACCCAATCAACAGAGTCTATGAATTCCCAAGAGCAGCCTTGTTTGGCTGGTTCAACCATTACTTGTAAATAAATAACTAAAACAACAGCATACATATGCTTACAAGATTAAATATTTTATTAAATATCATTTCAAGAAGAAAAGAAAGAAATGATACAAGCAATCGATTGCAAACTTTTTTTAATTAAAATTAAATAAATCAATAATTTAGTATGCATTTCCTTGCTTTCGTTTACTCTAATCAGTCTCATCATCAGTTTATCTTCCATTTTTCCTTTGTTTTTTTCCGAAGCAAGGAACATAACATTAACAGTAAATAACATAGCTCTTTTCAGTATGCACACATCGGATATTTACAACTATAATCATGCAGGCTCAAATTCAGCACTTGATAATAAGAAAGTAGCCTCTAATTCCAAACCTGGGGTTCCCTGGCGGCCTTAAACATATTCTCTGCACGTACGCTCATATTAAGTGGCCCGAGAGAGCTTTTCAATTTTCGAAGCTGGTTTGAGTGCCGGAGCCGGTGCCGGTGCCGGTGCCGGTGCCGGTGCTGGTGCTGGAGCTGGTGCAATATGTGATTCATTTGACAGTGGCCGCAGAGTTACTGGTGTCTTTGGATGCTTCTCTAAATATGTCATCATTTTCCTGGCGTTTATTCCTTCACTCTCCTTCCCTGCAATACATAAAAGAAAAAACCCGGATAGATGAAATAAGGAACTGGAAACTTGAGTAATGATTTATGAATCGCAAAGAGTAATTTCCTACCATTTGGATCAAAGTTGGGTTTGGAAGATTCTGACAAGAGAATAAGAGTAGGAGTGATGATTGTGAGAACAGCCCAAAAGAAGAATATGAGAACATAAGCTCTATCGGTCATTTGTCCGGGAAAAGTGATGCAGCTTTGGAGAATGTTCAATGTTTATTCCAAGTAATGAGATGAGAGAAGAAGCAAAACTTGAACATCATAGCTGGCCATGTTTCAGGAACACCCTGTATTATAAAACTCAAAGCAACTAGTAATAGTACCAATTTGTAATATGTATCCCTTTCAATAACACAAGTCAATTTATTAAAATAACAAACAATATGATTTTCGTTGTTTAGTTGTTGAAGAGTTGTTATACTAGTTGGTTGTGTGAATAGACATCCATCTGGAATCTCTAAGTCAATAATCGGTTTTGCTGTTGCTTCATTGAAGGTGAATTCTCTAATACGCCCAATCAGTGTTTGCCGCATGGCAACCTCACGACTACTTGGACCATGATCTTTTACAAGCATTAATGATTGATGACACTCGAGGTTGATTAGTTTTGAAGCGTTTGATTCCATGCTAACACTTTGTGCAAGTCTAAATAAAATCCTGTAGAGAAATTGACAAAATCCAGCCACCACAGAGAGCTGCAAATCCCACCTATCATGAGAGACGAATGCCTCTTAAGGTTCAGTGGCATCGATACATGGATGTTGCCTCACTCAATTCACTACCTAATGTCACGGATCCTACATCACGCATCGGGGAGGTTTTGAGCTTATGAAAGGTCATCTACCTAATAGGCTATCTGTTTAGGTGTACAACTCACAATCCGTGACAATTGTATCAAACATACCAAATATATCTTTCGGTGTCCTGATCCATCTTTCGGTGTCTCATCAAACGTCCACGCAAAGAGACGTCCATGTGTAATAATAGGTCTACTCGAGAATGAGATGGAGGGGTGGGCAAGAGGCCCTACCTATGACGAAGGCGTCACAAGATTAGGTGAGAGAGAATGTCACGGATCCCACATCGAGCATTGGGGAGATCTTGAGTTTATAAGAGGGAGAGTTCTTTTCCCTAATGGGTTAGTGTTTTTTTGTATAAAACTCTTAGCCCGTGACACTAAGCAAACTTAACATCCAACAACTTGAAAAAAATAAAAAAAAATGAGGCCGCAGACAAATAAATACGTGATCATTGACTGAAGAATGCCGCAGAAACACGACTTTGAACAAAATTCCAGTAGGAAATTGGATTCTGTCCAGACTTCCTTTTCTCTTTGGGGACTGAATAGTTACTTAAAATCTGATCTTGCTTACTTTCCAGTAAAATTGAATGCTATAGATCATGACTTATCACAGTGCTGCTTATATATTAGTCGAAAAATGGGCTAGAAGCTTACTATCATCGTGTTTACTCCAAACCAGAAGCGTGATGATGTGTATGCAAAATAACATGAATATACCTAACACCATTATTGGCATTTGGCAAGGAGAACTATGCAAGAAGAAATAGAACTTCCAATTCAGACAAAATGGCATCTGGAAAATTCTAAGAAAAAGGGATTAAAGTATTGATAGCTAATCAACATCCTGATATCTTTCATTAATTAACAAATACTACTGAAGAATTATATTTTCAAGGGAAAAAAGGTGCAAGCAAGCTACACCCCATGAAAAAGGCAAGAACCCTACGTCATTCTAAATACAAAGCAGATGGAATCTTCAGCATATATATGAACTTTGCATTTGTATTTAACATGATATTTGTTCCATCTAAAAATTAAAAAAATTCAGTAAGACAAAAAGTAGAGGTGCAAGAATAAGGTTGCTGCACAATTCCCATTTTCCTCTAATCGTCAAGATATATCACGAGGCTCAATCCCTTGGCATACCACTGCTACCAGCAGCAGGCTTTTTCCCGGTATACCTCTGTAAAAGATCACCAAGACAAGTTATTATATTTCATTAAGAGAGCCAAATGGAATAAACTGTCACCAGATGCCTCCACAAATTTAGAAAATATAAAAAAAGAGTAGATTCAGGAGATGGTGGCAGAAAGCTGGGTGAAGGACTGAAAGGTACTATAATAACAATTCAGATCTCTCACCTGCTTCCCAAAGCTGAATGGAACATATTTATACTTAATCATGTGCATGATTTGGCGCTTCATGGTGAGGACAAACAGAACAATCCAGTAACAGAGCAATATGGGCCAGAAAACAGGGACATCAAAAATAGAAAAAAAGGTCATAAGGAAAGCTACGCAGAAAGCCTTTGTGATGGCATACCTGAAACAACAGAACAAAAAGAATCAAGTTTAAACCTGCATTTGAACTCATAAAATTCCTACAAGAACAGAAAAATATGAAAAGAAGAAAGGAGATTGACTCAGCTACATCTAAACTGATATTTTTAATCATCTGAGCGACTCATTATACTTCATACAGAATAAAAAACCATCTACAACCAGACTCTGTCAAGTTAACATTAACCAGGATTTGAAATTGGCACTGCCACTGATAGAGTGGGGGAACAAAGGGTAAAAAAAATACCCTGAAAGAGAAAATTATAGGTGCACCTCTTACAGAAAACATTTAATTTTCACAGGAGACCCATTTTAGAACATCAGTAGACCCAAAGGAGCTCCAAGCAAGTTAGCAAGATCAAGTCGCCAACATTTTGGAAAGGATGCATCATTCTATTCACTAAGATTCATTCTATTCAAAAATAGTCAACTTAATGTAGTATCCAACTCAGAGTAGAACACCTAACAGCTGCTGTCCAAGACTGCATATCAAACAGCAGAATATAGAGGCAGCTATTACAGCTTTCTTTGACTGAACTGTCTCTTTCAACTGGGTGTTCATCATTAGTTTAATCACCTCAAAGTAAGAAATAATTTAAATTGATCAACTTCACTTACAATACTCTGGACAAGAACAACGAGGTTGAACTTCTTTATTCACCTCAAAGTAACCAGAATAATTAATATGAATGAAATGCTATATTAAGAATATTCAAATTACAAATTTGACAAGCTTTTACAAGTATATGCAATAAACTAGGCTACCAATATTGATGAGGTGCATCCAATATTTGAACATTAATGGTTTGAACACTTAATGTTGATGGATGTGCCTCAGAATTTGACATGACAAAAATAGCAATATCGTATCAAAGAAAAATTATGAAAAATAAGCAAAATACTTCATTAAAATAAAGTGATAGTACAAGTATTTAAATTACCAGAACTTGAACTCAGGAAGTCGGCGAACAAAAGGCCTAAACTCATCTGAACCTTTAGTAGGCAATGAAGCTCCATCCAAGGCTTCAAATTCCGGATCAATCTTTGGCGACAGAAATCCAATTAACAGATTCAGAATATAGATTCCTAATCCATAGGTCACAATGTAAAATCCTTCAATATAGTAAACACGCAACACATAAATCGCAGCGGCTGCAAGAGTTCCAAGCCATCTCTCCATCGGATGCGGGGTTGATCGATCCAGATAGTATTGAAACATCCTTGAGAAATCGCTTTTCCACTTAGCAATAGGGGCCATAGCAGAGGCAGCATCACCCCCTCCTCCTCCTCCACCTCCTCCTCCTCCTTCCATGGGATATTAGGTTTGAAACTCTCTGCATAAACAGAAGAAAAAAAATATAGTTAAAACCTGAGCAGTATTTACACCGTATTTCATGATTCCAATAGGTTTTGTTTATCAAGAATGAGAAAACCCAAGTGAGGCTAATGGTTTAATAAGCTTAATTTCGTGTAGCATTCAGTATTCTGGCGAATCATATGGAAAATAGTAATAGAAATTTTAGGATTCGCTGCCTTTTAAAAAAAATATTTCCATGCCTTCTCAACTACAAAACAACAAGTGAGGTTTAACTTAAGCAATATCATGTCTACAATTAGAAACAGCGACGTCATAAGGTATCAAAAGATAAAAAAAATCTGGTCGATACCTTAAACCCAACCCTATAAGAAACTCTTCGACGAGAAATAAATATCGGAGGCACCTAGATCGGCTATACTTCAATTTCCATGGAGAATTAATCAAAACAGGTTAAAGCTATCTAAATTGTCAATAAATCAGAGGTTATACAAGCTATGTAAGCATAAAATTCTACGTATAGCATCAAAACGACAAAAGAGAGGACAAAAACGACAGCTCACCTTGAAGAAACGCCAAGGTAGGGTTATAACACCGAGAGGATCTCTGGATCTGAAGGTTATAAGTTTTCTTTTCTCGATTTCGTTCAATAAACTTGTAGAGACATGGCTCCTAATTTAGAGAAACAGTATTTTTTCCAGCATATATGATTATATGCACATATTTTTACGTGCTATTTTTAATTTACTCCTCGTCGAAACGCTCTGTTTTAAATTTTAATTATTTAATATCAATACTTTGAAAAGTGGAGCGCTTTATTTTATTTTGTTTTATTGGAATCTTATTAATTTGGGAAGAGAATTGTTTTTAAACTAATAATAACGTATAGGATTAGCCGATGAGGGTCCATTGTTGAACTGGATTGGGTCTGATTCAGCCCAATTGCGTGGATAAATTGTTGAGAGTGTAATCGTGTTCCGAGAGAAGTGTTAAAAGAATCTTTATTGTATTACTCAAAAGGTTTTAAGTTTAATACTCTTCAGTTAGTAGTAACAGGGGCAATCATCAAATAATTTAATAATTTTAAGGTCTCAAGAGATTAATCGAGATGCGAGCAAACTAGCTTGAATACCCCCCATCAAAAAAAAAAAAAAAAATTGTTTAGAGTTCTTTCAAATGGATCTAGTTATCTCCCTCACCTTTAAATCACTTGAATAAATTTATAATAGGAATTCAATAAAACCTGAAAAAGGGAATTTTGAAGGACATTAAACCGTAATTTATAACTTGGAAACACTATTTTGATATTACTTACAAATAAGATTACTCCAATATTGACGAAGTAAATAATATATTATTCATTTATCTGTTACACCCATATTAAGAGGAGAGTAAAAAAAAGAAGAAATAAAAATTTTTTTAATTGTGATTTGCTTTATTATAACAAAGATTAAACATTAGTTTAAGCTTAAATAACATTATTAAGGGAAACTATCACTGGGTGATCGAGTGATTCGATAGGGATTCTTGGGTGTATTACTCAAGAGGTCCTAAGTTCGAGTTTCTTCTCGGTTGTTAATAGGAGTAGTCATTGGAACTCTTACCCGATCGATAATTTCAAGGTTCTCGAAGATTAGTTGAGATGCGCATAAACTGATCCAGATACCCCGATAAAAAAAATAAATAAATAAATAAAAAACATTATTAAGGGGCTTTGCTTAGAAGACGATGATTACCATCCCAAATGGCAATTGCTTTAGCTAGCTACTATCCATATAATCACCATCCCAATTGGTAAATACTTTAATTTCTGCAAATTGGGTTTAGTTACTTTGTTTAAACACCATCATCATTGATCACCAGATGAGGCAAATGGAGAGCTTCTTCATGGTTTCTTCCTAATTCCCATTCTCGTGATTTAAAGAGGTTTCTTATCGTATGGATTAGTATCTCTCGAAGAATGTTGCAAAATGGACCAGTGCAATCTGGGGTTGCTTTCTTAAAACTAAAGGAAAGGATGATATGCAGTGGATTAATTCAACATTCTTAATAGGAAACCGGGGATTTATTGTTATAAATTAACCAAAAAAGGAAGAATTATTGTTTTTCAAACTACTGCAACTTGAATAATTGGATTAAACACAGGTATTTCACACCTGATCTGGGTAACTAAAAGTCTAAAACTTCTGTGAGGAGGGAAGTTATAATCGTCTCTTAAATAAATGAGTTTTGAGGCTGAATGAAACTACTTGATTCATAATGCTATTGAAAAATACAGGGAACTAAAAGGAAAGTCAGAAGAAACCAAAATTTGACAACCATGATCAGATAAAAAAGATCCAATAAAGTACAATATAAACAATCCTACAATGCAAGATACAGATAGAGATGCTTCTGCTGAAAAAATACCCTCCCTAAATTGACTAGCTTATTAATTTCACAGGATAAATATGAATGCAATCTTCCCAGGGTCCATTGCGGGATGGCTTCACATTGCGCATAGCCTGCCAGACAGCACTGTTACATTTGAAACCACTTCCAAAGGCAATCTGCCAGACCCGGTTGCCCTTTCGCATTCTCCCCTTGGCTTCAATGTATGCCAACTCATACCAGATAGAGCTGGATGAGGTATTCCCAAAACGATGTAGAGTCATCCGAGAAGCCTCCACATGCACTGGTAATAGCTGCATATTTTTTTCTAGCTCGTCAATTACAGCCCTCCCACCCGCGTGTATGCAGAAATGATCAAATGCCAGCTTAAAATCAGGGATATAAGGCTTAACATCGGCTTTGAAAAACTTCTTAATCAGAAGCGTTGAAAAAAACAGAAGCTGCTCACTAATTGGTAGAACAAGAGGACCCAATGTGGTGATGTTGGTTTTAAGTGCTCCACCAGCAATTGCCATCAATTCTTTTGATAATGAAACCCCTATCTTCCCTTGATCATCCTGTTCCTGATAAACGCAACGAAACGCCTTATCATCTGCCCCTTTATGTGTCCTCACAACATGAACAAGTTTATACTTTGCTCGCTTCCTATCGTTAGCCTTATTAGAAAGCAAAACTGCAGCACCACCAACTCGAAACAAGCAATTGGGTATTAACATAGACTTCTTATTCCCAAAATACCAATTCTGAGTAATATTTTCGGTGCTCACAACCACAGCATAAGTATTTCTATTCAATTGCAACAAATCTTTAGCAAAATCCACAGCAATCACCCCAGCACTACAACCCATGCCACCTAAATTGAAACTCTTAATATTACCCCTCAATCTGTATTTGTTCACTATCATAGCAGACAAAGAAGGTGTAGGATTAAACAAACTACAATTGACAACAAGAATCCCAATATCTTTTGGATTAACATGGGTGTTATTAAAAAGATTATCTAATGCACCATACATGACCTGTTCAGCTTCTTGTCTAGCTGCTGCTATGGTTGGTTTAGGAGGGATATTATGCATAGCTTCAGGCACGTAAGTTTCCTCTCCAAGCCCCGAACGCTCAAGAATTTTGCGTTGGAACTCGAGTGATGACTCATCAAAATCTCCAGTTAATTGGGAGTGCTTCATAAATTTCTCAGAAGGAGCTTTTAGATCATCAGGACCACGGTAGCACGAAAAATCAACCAAATAAACAGGTCTAGGACTCTTCATAATATAAACCGTTAATCCAAAAACAAGAATTGCAGAACAAATAATTATGCTTACCAAATTGAACTGTAGGTGGATCCATAACTGACGCAAATCATCCATATTCATTTGAGAAACTTCGATGGAAATCACTATAATCAAAGGTATAATACATAGTGCTAACAAATTTGATATAAGATAATGATAACCTAATTTCACATACTTTAGATTCACACTTTGTAAGAAATCCGGTAACCTTCGATTCTGTTTGATCTGAACCCCAACGGCACCACCACGACCGTCGTCTGGCTCCATAGTCGGGGGTGATAAATTTGGTTAAACTTTTTTTTTTTTTTTCCCAAATAAAGGAATATTTATTGGTACGGCTATTGATAATTATATAGGATTTGACAATTGTAAACAACTGTATCCCTATTTAACGAGGGATAATGAATAACAATCTCGTTGACAATATCTAGACCCAGTGCCAGATTTGCCTATATATACATTTACAGTTCACAGTCTGTTTTGATTGGAAATTTATGGTCAAACTTTCGTTTCCCTCCACTGTTTCTACAGATAAATTTTTCAGTGAACAGAAATCATATAATAAGGCAGAAGTACATATACCCACCCATAGTTTAGCCTATTTACTCGATCCCCTGGTTTGAAAAACTATCAACGTTCCACCGTCTGTTACTATTAGTGTGTCCGTCAATGGATTTTAACCTCGGACACATATGCAGGTAATATAATGGCCAAATTGCCCTTTCTTATAAAAAATTAACCTAAATCTTCATCTTTTAACCAATATCCAAATTAATATTAATTAATAACCAATTCAACTTTAATCATAAGATTAAAAATATATCTTCAAATTTACGGAAAATTCACAAACCACTAAATACATTTAGGAGAATTAATCAATAATCAGCTCCCATCCTCCCAACTAACCAAAAATAATTAATCAAACATTAATAACAAGTAAATAAAAAATAATTGTCAAATCTTCAATAAAACAATACTTTGTTAAACATTTAAAATAAAAATTAATGAAAACAAAACTTCATCACCCATTGTCTTCATCATAGTTTTGCAACTAAAGATCATCACCTTCACTATATTTCAACTCATAATCTATAACATCAAAGACAATATTTTTATTCAATGACAGCAAAATCAACCTACAAATAATAATAATATTAATCAAATCATAGACCCACAAACACCATAAGCCAAAGAACTTGGCTTCTTCATCCACAACTCAGTCCGGCAAACAGAGGAAAACCATGGCGAGAAAAAGGAGAAGGAAACATAGTCGAAAATGGAGAATGAATCATGGTTGACAAGATCGTGCCTTGGTAGCGCCTTTGAGCAATAAGTTAGCCAAATCACGACCTTACATAGCTTTAGGTTTTTTTCAACCACATAGGGTTTGTGTATTGTGTAAAAAACAAAAATGCCCTTGAATTGTTAAGCTTATCAGTGAAATTTGAAAAGATGGTGGAACATTGATGGTTTTTCAAAGCGAGGTTACCCGTTTGTAGGTGGGCTAAATCTTGGGTGGGTACATGTATTTCGGCTTATATATTTATACAATTTTAATATATGATTTTAAATGAATGAGTATATGAAATTTAAGAATCAACTGAACCGATAACAAGCATAATATCATAACACAAAATAGAAAGCATACATTAACTTTTACTAGCATATTGCATCAAGTATGTATGCGTTGCAATTCCATATTTGTGATTTGGCAGGGGCGTTGGTGTAATTCATAAATGAAAATCAATGTATTACTTTATATTTTGACTCATTTATTTACTTAGAGCACCAATTCATCTATTAAACATTAATTTATTTATAAAACATAATTTGTATTTATAAAGAAAATGCAACGTTCCTGTGGCAAAACCCCAATTTGCCCTCCCAAGGGTACGGGATATTCTACCCTAACTCAACGGTATCGTTTTCTCCTCCAGCTTGTTTCCCATCACACACACAGCGAAACTCAAAAAACCCAAAACCTCACTGACCTTACCTCCACAAACACACACTCTCACCGATCAAAAAATGGGAACCCTTGGGAGAGCGGTATACACAGTTGGATTCTGGATTCGCGAAACTGGTCAGGCCCTTGATCGTCTTGGCTGCCGCCTCCAAGGCAACTATTATTTTCAGGAACAACGTAAGCTCTTCTCTGTCTCTATTTAATTCTAGGTCTCATTTCATTTCCTGGAAAAAATTAATCTATCTCCTTGTTTTCATTTTAAGCCTTTATTTATAACTTATTCTTGTGAATTGCGTTTAGTTTTAAGTAATGATAACCAGACAACCTTTTGCTTTGTCTAGAGAAGCAGGGATTGGTGAATTATATAAATTAACGTATGCTTATGTGAAGGGCGAGTTGTTTTTGTACAGACATTGAGTTGCATGCTTGGTGTTTTATGTGAATATATATTATTGTTAGTGGGGACTATATGAGAATTGCCACATTTCTCACAAATGATTATGAATATTGAAAGTAAACTGTTATTATATCATTTGTAGTAGCAAATCTAATGTAGCTTTCATTTTCATTGATGCACGAGACTTCAAATACACCACGAGAACTTTTTCATAAGCTCATGGTAAGATATTAGTTACAAGAGATGTTCATGGTTTTCCTCACTTTGGGAATATGTTGGTGTAGCAACCAAAAATCTAGAGATATGGCAGAAAAATATGCATAATTTATTTTTAATTTTACACTAGGTGTGCTTAATTAGTTGGATTTTATGGAACCTAAAGGAAACTTTTAATCCTGCAAAGCCAGACTGTGTCACAGTGGAATTCTCAGAGTTTGCTGACTTCTCACAACCTATCTTTTTTGAATTTTACATTTCAAGTGCCTGTTTGTAGGCTAGGATTAGGTAACCGCTTTACCTTTTTTTTTGGTACATGAACATCTAACAATCAATTATCTCTTTTTGTTCCAGTGTCTAGGCATCGAACTCTCATGAACATATTTGATAAAGCTCCTGCGGTTGACAAGGATGCATTTGTTGCTCCCAGCGCCTCTATCATTGGGGATGTTCAAGTGGGAAGAGGATCATCTATTTGGTATGGATGTGTTTTGAGAGGTAAGATGCTTTCTGTAGGATTTAGTATTTGCTTGTTTGATGCATTTAACAAGTTTATTTCAATAAAGACTACAGTCATTGGTATATTTGTTGTATTGATTGAGGTAATACTTTAGGATTGCTATGCCTACATGAGATACAAATAAAGTAATTTTGATTTTGTATGTTAAAAAATTGCAATGTTAGGTTTTTTATTTTAGCCCTGTGTAACTGATGCATGATGATCATGGTGTTGCTTCTAGGAATGCAGGCTTTTCTATGTCAAACTGTCAAAAACTATCAGAATGTAGGATCTTATAACTCTATGGTGTGTTAGAAATGCTATCATAACGGAAACTGTGTTCTGCTTTTTGGTTTTTTGTGGTGTGTGTGTATGCTATATGTTATATTGCCAGTCATAGACTTAATTCCATATTGTAACATCTGTGGATCTGATTTGGCTGGTTTGATATGGTTTTAGTGTTGATAGCCTTTTGAGTAAAGATTATTATATTCTAATGAAACAGGACAGATTTTACTGATGGGTTCATTTTTTTGCTAATATGGAAGTAGTTAATAGAGGTTCAATACAGTTCTAAGCCATTGGTCTCGTTCTGGAGTAATATGTATTGAAGTGTTGAAGCTTATCATTTTAACTAGAAGTTAGTTTCCCACAATAAAATTTAAATTCTTTGTATGTGTTTAGTCTTAAATCACCTTCTCCGTAGCCTGGTATACATGTTTCTATTTTAATGGCATCAGCTAAGTGTGTAGTTTTTTGCATAGTTTCAACACACAGTATATAAGTGAATTTTTGGATCATGTTGGGACTTCTTTAACTGTTATTTCCTTAGCCAATAATTTTCTGCTTGCATTTATTGGCTTTCTTGTTACATCTTATGATAAGAAACAACAAAAAATTCCACATTACTTTGTCAAACATACAAGAAACAACAAAAAGCCAATTGTAAAAGAACTTTGCTAGACTTTGATTATACAGCTACATATTTAAATTACAACCTTATGATTGAGCCTCACTTAATTCAATTTGAGCACCTCCCTCTACTTCCCTTTGCGCAGGGAGCTTTAATTTACTTCACATTGCTTTTAGTTCACCTTTATGTGAATTATAGGTTTGTTCAATTAAATTTTTTGGGAGTTGTATATCGGTCGGTTTTGCAAATGATCATTTTAATGTTTCTTGTGTGTTGCAGGGGATGTGAACAGCATTAGTGTTGGATCAGGAACTAATATACAGGACAACTCGCTAGTGCATGTTGCAAAGTCTAACCTAAGTGGGAAGGTGCTGCCAACTATTATTGGGGACAATGTTACTGTAGGTGAGTTGTATGCTATTGGCCATATGTTTGACGTGACTGTTGCTGGCTACATCTCTCTTCTTTTTTTTTTCCTGGATTATGATTTAAGATTTTAACTAAGCAGGCCATAGTGCTGTTTTACATGGCTGCACTGTTGAGGATGATGCCTTTGTGGGAATGGGTGCGACTCTACTCGATGGTGTTGTTGTTGAGAGACATGGGATGGTTGCTGCTGGATCTCTTGTGAGGCAGAATACTAGGATCCCTTCTGGTGAGGTATATTGGCAAGCACTGTCTCACCCACACACATTCAAGGAAAACTGGTCTTATATGGTTTCATCTTATTGTGGAAAGAACTGTGATGTATATGTAGTATGATGAAGGAGTTATGAATTGAAAACAAATATTCTATGGTACTTTAATTGTCAGCAAACAGTTAGCTCATAATGCTTGCATGTATACATGAGGGATGGCATCTGATTAGTAGATGGGATAGATAGCCATCTTGACCAGGATGAAGTTTTGTGAAAAAAAAGTGGTCTGAACCTATTGATGTTAGCTATTTTAGTCTAGTCAGTGAAGGTAGAAGAATCACCAAACTTGCAAGTATGATAGACTAACATGTTGATAAGTCGGCCTGATAGGGACATCATTGCTAGGTTTTCAGCTCATCTGAAATGATCCCGAGTCTCAACCTCCCCTGTTGTCAATCAAGGTGAAGTGGGTGAATTCTTGTTCTCTTTAGGTAGCAATCGGCATCTTGTTATCAGTTTTCTTAACAGAATGCCAAGGTTTTTGTTGAGCGGTAAAAGACCCACCTAATTTTGATTTTATATCTCACTACTTTCCTTAATTCCTCTATATTCTCTCTTCTTAAGTGAATTTTACAGAACGCTGAGATTCGTAATTCAGTTTGGCCAAATCAGCTCATGTTCAGACAACTTCCATCAACTGTTCCTTGAGTGTTGCTTTCTATAATTATAAATATTAATTCGTGAATTGTGTGACACTATCTATCACAGGTATGGGGAGGCAATCCAGCAAAGTTCCTAAGAAAGCTCACTGATGAAGAGATAACCTTTATTTCCCAGTCAGCCACCAATTATTCCAACTTGGCACAGGTGCATGCTGCTGAGAATTCAAAGCCCTTTGATGAGATTGAATTTGAGAAAGTTCTTCGCAAGAAGTTTGCTCATCGGGATGAGGAATATGACTCAATGCTAGGTGTTGTCCGTGAAACTCCCCCAGAAATTATTCTTCCAGATAACATCAAAGATCCAAAGGCCTCACAGAAATGATAAATCACTAGCTATTTTTTGTTAAATTTGAATATTGAGGTTTGACATCAAGGAATATTTGTTGTTACATGCAAATACATGGAGAGGGAGTCATTCTCATTCCTAATAAGACCAGACAAGTAGGGTAGAATTATGGCTCCTCTTTAGCTTCCAGTTATGCCTTCTTGTGGCTGTTTAAAATCTCAATTTCTGCTCCGCTAGGAACTAATACCATAAAGCAGCTTGTATGTTGATGTTTTGTCTTGTATTTGAGATCCCTATGTTCGAGATGATTTTGTTCACCATCTGCACTTTTTGATTTTCATGTCGTTAATGGATATGTCACGATGAATTAGAATTTTGAGAGCCCCATGTATAGCATTATACTTTTGCTTCCTGGCGGGCTTGCATACCGTGATGAGTAGTTTGATGTTCTTCTTCAATGCTTTTGTGAAATCAGAAACTCAGAATATTTTATGCTGAAATTTGGCCTCTGATTGAGAGGCGCCTGAGGTTTGGAGACTTTTTCCTGTCGTATGATTTGAATTGGAAAGTCATTATGTCTGACAAGTTGGTAAGAGGCCAGTGAATGAAACTGCTGAAAGTTATTATTTTGTTGAAGGCATTGATGTTACCAAATAGCCTAAAGTGATTGTGATGATATTATACCCCTAGCTTATTGTCATTTAGTTGTTAAGTATAAAACAAAGTGAGTGATTCGAGTATGGTGCTATTAATAGAAAGTAAAAGCGTTCAACATAGCTCATTTTTAATGGTACTTTTTATCAGCTCATTTCTAAATTTTTTTATTTTAAAGAGCATGTTTTACATAAATAAAAATCATATTTATTAATTTTTAAATATAAATAACAAAATTTGTATTCAAATCTAATGGACTTTTTAAATTAAACTTAATAAATATGAGAAATGTTTTATAATAAAGAGTTTGGATCATATAAAAAGTCTTTTAAAGATATTCGGAGTGCTCAGCCGAAAGCAAAAGATGCTCCGAGTGTTCAGCCGAAAGCAAAATTTAGTTTAAAGGCTTTGATTCTTCTCCTTTCATCTTTATCAGTTTCCTTCTGTATAATTTTCTGCGCTGGCCGCCCACATTTTACTACGCTTTGGATAAGTTAACAGCAAAAGACAGCTCAGTTCCTGTGTGCTATTAATTTGTCATGGACAGTGTTTGATTTTGAACAAAAAATGTGAAAGCTCTGATTGCACGGGTGGTTAGCTTACGACATATACCACAACGGACAACACTTTGAATTTTATCCAAAACAATCGAAGATTCATTGCTTATTGGCTCACTGGGTCCTCCACAGTCCACAGTACCGTCCTACTTGAATCTTCTTATGGATTTTTGTATGTTGGGGCGAAAAAAAACATTACACATTTGTTGATTGGTGATTAGTGAAAAGTGAACATGAGTAAGCGCAATTTCTGCCAACCTAAGTACCTAACCCATGTGCTAAACCAATCCTTCCGATCCAAATTCTATAAGAAATACTACTAGCCTGTAAAAAATCGTAGCCATAGTCAGATCTGTTTCGCAATTATTGGAGTCCCCTGAGTCTGAATCTACAAAAGCCAAACATGCAATTCTCCGTGATTTCAGCTGAGGTGCCTTATGCTTGAAACGACAAAAAGGGTCGCCCCTCTAATCTTATAGATCTCCATATATTCTTCTCTCTTTCATGTTGTCTGATTTTCTTTGTACCCTTCCTGTTATATATATACCTCTTCATTCATTTCAAGTGCTATTCTTTTTCCTGGTTTTTTTTTTTAAACATTGATGGGTCCAATTTTAAATTATGGGCATTTTCATTATTGTGTAGATATAAAAATCTCTCTTCTAATCAAGTAGAGCACTGTTGAGACTTGAAAGCATGAAAAATGCGACTGCTATAGTTGAAGGCTTGAGAAATGATGAAGCTAAAACCTTTCTAAACAAAAAGGAAATGGTGAGAAAGAGGTGACTAGGCATTTGGCTTAAAGCAATCAAAAGATTACAAGCACTCATTCTTGCGCCGGAGACAATTATTCGTGAATATTACAATACAAAAAACAAGACTGAGTATCAAACAAAGTAGTGATGATATTTTATTATTCTTTAAAATTTTGAGGTGGGTGATTGCTTGTTGGATTCCTTTGAGGTTTGAAGTGTATTGTGGAAGTATATGGCCACGCTTGCAGCTAAATGTGTGTGGCGCTTATCTAATGTAAAGAGAGGTAGGGCCAAACCCAAAATTTTATAGCCACCACCACCACTACTGCAGGGCCATGCGAATAAAGAGTGATGTTGCTCTTATAATCTCTTCTCATCAATTTTCTCTTATAATCTCAACATGATAATTTGTAATTAATTAATCATAATTTATTAGATGAAACTTATATGAGATTTATTATGAACTGACTAATTACGAACTGTTATATCAAGATTATAAGAGAAAATTTGTGAAAAGAGGTTGTATATTTGTATTTTTTGTGAATAAAAATAGCAATAGGTAAATAATTTTATTATTTGGGGGCAATTTGGGGAACAGGAGGGCACTGAAAGTCCGCTGAAAGTGGACCCGGTGAAGTCTATAAATACCGAAACGAAAGAGCGGAATGGCAAAAGAGAGAGGAAGGGGTGTTTACTTTTCTTCTTATTTTCACTTAAAGAAAGAGTGAAAGGGCAAAGCCAAGATATGGGAGCGGAACCCTTGCCCACCATGGTTACCGTTCCTTTAATTCTTGGACTCCAACCTGCTGCCCTCAGTGACCACGTCGCACGCGTCGATTGGTCCCTGCTGGATCAAATCCCTGGTGAACGCGGGGGCTCTATACCAGTATATTTCTTAATTTTACTCCAAATCCTTTAGATATCACTTTTTTTTTTTTTTTTTTAATAAAATAGAAATAAAAATTGAAAATAAATTCGTGCTCTGTGTAGGTAGCAATTGAAGCGCTGGAGCATATACTAAGTGAGGTGAAAACTCACATGCTTTCTACACCTGATGAATCATCTCCTATAAAAACAATAGCGGGAGGGAGTGTTACCAATACTATTAGAGGTTTGAGCGTAGGGTTTGGGGTGTCTTGTGGGCTTATTGGTGCTTATGGGGATGATCAACAGGGCCAGTTATTTGTTAGTAACATGACCTTTAGTGGGGTTAATTTGTCAAGATTGAGAATGAAGAAGGGACCTACTGGCCAGGTGATTTTCTGTTAATGAATTTTATTAGTTTTTTAACGGTCTTTCTGTTTGATCTTTATGTATGTTTTGTCTGGCTAAGTGCTGAAATTTTATCAGTAAATGCTGTGCCACAGTGTGTTTGCCTGGTTGATGAATCGGGTAATCGTACAATGCGACCTTGTCTATCAAGTGCTGTCAAAATTCAGGCTGATGAACTTACCAGAGAGGATTTTAAAGGCTCCAAGGTTAGCCACCTTGTACTATATTCCGTTAATTTGTTGGTACTGTTCGGTTTAATTGATATTTTTTAGCTTTTCATGTATCAGTATGAACTTTTGGAAAGCTTTAATATAGTTATGTACTGGAGTGCGCTTCAGATTTTAGTGATGAATGTCTCTATGTTTTAAAATTGAAATTATGGCCCGCTTTGACAAAATATCATTCAAATGTGAACAATGCTCAGCTTGGTCATCTTTAAAGACGGTAGGCTCTGGACTTGTTTACTTATATATCTTCTGTTAACAGTGGTTGGTTCTAAGATTTGCAATGTTCAACATGGAAGTTATTCAAGCAGCCATTCGGATTGCCAAACAAGAGGGTGTTTCTGTCTCGTTGGATTTAGCAAGTTTTGAGGTATTTCCTTCAAAATATTTTCACCTTCATTAAGTTCATTTAGTTCAGATCAGGGGAGTGTATCTTTTATGCATGCAAATGAAATTGACTTGTGTGAACCAAAAAAAAAAATTGACTTGCGTGAACTTCAATATATCTGAAGCAAAGTTGTTAAAATCATTGATGTACACTTGGAATATTGATATGTAATTAAAATGAATTTCTAATTGGCGTTCATGGTATTTAACTTTGGCCAGATGGTTCGGAATTTTAAATCACATCTTCTACAGTTATTAGAGTCTGGGGATATAGACCTCTGCTTTGCCAATGAGGACGAAGCAGCTGAGCTAGTAAGGTGATTGTCCTTTTGTTATAATTTTAACACGTCAATACAGTTGGTAATTTAGGAGTAGATTTTATTGCTTCTTCATGATTCTGTTTCTAAATTTGGGGCAGTTTCTGGTTGCTGGCATTTATTTTTCATTCAACGATTATTGTAGAGGTGAACAAAATGCTGATCCAGAGGCTGCTCTTGAATTCCTGGCTAAAAGTTGCCGATGGGCTGTGGTGACATTAGGCTCTAATGGATGCATTGCAAAGCATGGAAAAGAGGTTGGTTAGATCTCCTCTTTTTTTCAGTTCAATAATGCGGCTAGTCTGCATACATGATTACATGAAGCTATTTTCCCTCCTGGAGATATGTTATCCACGATGCACCATCCCAGTTGTTCTTATATGTTTAAACTGTGTTTGGGTGCCTTCGCTTGGAGCTTTTAAGCTGTCCAGATGCGGGCACCAAAATAGTTAGGTGGAGTGTTCTTTTTTGGTTTCCTTGCAATGCCCTTTGACTTCAACGATATGGGTGTATAATTTTATTCAAATTTTCTTGGACTTTTGATAGCCTTTGGCAAAATTGCTGTGTGTAGAACAAAGATAGTGCAAAATTCATCCAAAATTGAGACAAATATACAGCTAGTGCAATGGTCTTCTCTTATGCTGTCCTTCTGAAAGTAACTTGCAATTATGAAATTTCCTGCTATTTCAGGTTGTTCGAGTACCAGCCATAGGGGAGGCAAAAGCAACTGATGCCACTGGTGCTGGAGACCTATTTTCGAGTGGGTTCTTGTACGGATTAGTAAAGGGATTGTCTCTGGAAGAGTGTTGCAAAGTGGGCTCATGCAGTGGTGGTTCTGTTATTCGTTCTCTTGGTGGTGAGGTGACCCCAGAGAATTGGCAATGGATGCGCAAGCAGATGCAGATCAAGGGCCTCCCCATTCCAGCGGCTCATATTTGATGTCTATTGAGAGAATTTTATTTTATTTTATTTTTTTCCCCTTCTTTTTCATAATTATTTATCATCTTGAAGCCAAAGGGCAGCTGTAGTTGCATTTTGGGGCTAGTTGACTGATTAACATCTGTTTCTCCACGGAAACATAAATATTTTAATGTTGAGTTAATTCAGTCAACAAATGCACCATCTCAATGAAGATATAACACCCATTGGATATTTTATCATATTAACGTGAGAAGTCAAATTTTATCAGAGAAACCTCAGTTGCCGAATGGATTATTGATTTTTCAAATCGCTAACATCCATTTTTTATTAGGCTCTCTATTAGAAGAGATGTAAATTATATTTATTTAAACTTGAATAAGTAGAAATTAATCGTATGTTCCAAAACTCAAAAAATAAAAACGAGCTTTCATGTTTTTTTCAAGTCGAGTTCATTTAATTACCCTGCAAATATTGACTTAGAATTGGCGTACAACGATGGGAGCGTCCCCGCAAAGTCCCGGCGAAGCTGTTCGTAAGTCTCAGTCCTCAAAGAAATTTAACCAAAAATAAAGGTCAAAAAAAAAAAAAAAAAAAAATCAATACCACAGCTGGGACCCCCCTTCCCTACAACCTTAGTCTTAATTTGTTACTACCTTAGCATTAATACATCTTAAAATTAATCCTTTGGTCCGTATGCTAGACTTGTACAATTAGTGATGAAGCCAAAGTTAGAAATGAAATCTTTTATGAATCATGTTTTAACAAAATTTTGTAAAATTACTAAACGACAATGACAAAGCAAATGGATAGCAAAACCTACTACTCATAAAAGATTAACACCGGCCAACTGCTAATGAACTAGTGAATATCCCAGACTTTGCTCGATTTGAGCCTGCAGAAGTCAGACAAAACTACATATTACCAAGGTGTCATTACCATACCATGTTAAATCATGCAGCTTGAGTATTAGCTTAAGGTGTATGAACTTCACTGGGGACTAGCATTAAAATGTTTTCAATAAGGCAAGATAAATTGCATCATATGAGAGAAAATAAGAAAATTAAACTCCAATGAAATGATGTCTTTCATGATGCCATCCCATAATCCACTGAACTTGGCAAACACATGCTTAAAAACCTCATCTAAAAACAAGGACGGAAATGCAGCTTCTGAGTCTTGCTTCCTCAAATGTCCATTGGAGCCACACCCTCATCAGCGGTAGCTCCCTGGTCAGCGGTAGCCCCCTGGTCAGCGGCAACACCACCTTCTTCTGCGGCAGTCTCTGGAGCAGCAGCAGGACCCTCTTCCTTTCCAGCAATCTCAAATGTGTCAATCAACTTTTGTACAGTTTCCTGATCCAAAATATGGAATGGCTCCCCAACTCCTACCACAGCAACTGTGCAAATAGAACTCTTTAATGTTTCTCCTTGCAAGGTTTCCCTAATTGCCATGAGAGCATCCTTGATCAAATCTTCCCTTGAAGAGTCCATAAAGTTCTGAAACCTCCGTTCCATGTATGTCTTTGCAGCTTGAGAGCGGGACCCAATGGCAAATGCTTGATATTCAAAGTAGTTCCCACTTGGACAGTTGTAGTAAAGGTGGGCTCCGGACTCGTCCAAGCCACCTACCAGAAGGCCAACACCGTATGGCCGTTTCCAGGAGCGTTGGGTGCAGACCTGCCACCCAAATACACATTATAACTACAGATAAGTACGAGACCAAGCAAAATTCATAGATGGTAAGCTTCTGCTTCTTTACAATCCTTTTAATGGACACACAAGCATGGTGATGATTATTTAATTGAGTCAAGAGTCCAAAGAACAATGTTTATGATACCCCAATAGAATTTGGTATCCTTTAAGCAATTGATTAAAAGCTATATAACAATTTTGCTTCAACTTCTTTTGAATGGAGGAGACAGAGGACGAGAAAATCCAGTAGTGAAATATGAAACTGGTTGATAAGTAGCCCATACAGTTCCGAACCCCAACTGGATCAACAATCTAGCAACTTTAGTAGAATGTCAGAATCACTCTTTAAATTGATTTTTCTAAAATGAAATAAATTTTACTCAAAACTTCAACTTATCTAAACCAGAAAACAACACAAGATAAATTACTATCAATGAAACTGAATAAAATATGCCAACTAACTAATCTTACCATAACTTTAAAGACAGCCAGTTGCATCATTTTGGGACTTCCATTAGAAACATTATATATATTTTCTTTTGGGAATCGTTGTATAGACTTGAAATAAGAACCAAGCACATATCCAAACAATCCAGTAAGATCAGGCATGTGTTCTCAAAAATCAAAACTTACTGTTGTTAATCTCTAATAAAATGTTCTAAACACTATAACTCATGATGTAAGACAGGTCAAACTACATGAAGCAGAGTCTAAATTCCTTCTACAAGAAACTCTTAAGAAATTCTAAAGTAAAATATTCAAATTCTACATTAAATACTATGAGATATCATTACAAGCAATTCAAGTTGATGACAGATGTTAACGGACTTGAATGTAAAACAGAGGTTTCTCTTAGACACATCAAAGCCTTCAAGTAATACATTTACAAAGTATCCTAATTTTGTAACTCAAGTAATGCTACATTTACAATGTATCCTAATTTTGAAACTCAAGTAATGCTACATTTACAAAGTATCCTAATTTGTAACTCCAAGTAATGTGACATATCTATATCATTTACCACGTCATTTCATCATTGACATTATGATGCCAAATCAGTTCCCACATTAATCAGGATACAAAGTAGCTGCTTACTATGTAAGTGCAGCGTTAGCTGCAGGTGCAATGGATATGTCACAAATTCAATTAGCATAAAATATTATTATGTTGAGGAAGTTTGAACTTATAACTTGGTTAGGAAAAGCCACATTGAACTATCAAAAAAAAAAAAAAAAAGTAAATATCAGAAATGATGAAGTAGTACTATTCACCAGTTTCACACAGACCCCTTCAACAAACTTACACCAAAAACATTATATATCATCGTTATTTCTACTTTATGGTAATAATCTATCGCCAATCATTACGTTAGTACTAATTACCAGTTTAATCCACGAAGACTGCACTTGGATTTCAAAACCTTGAATGTCAAGTTTTATGACTAGTTAAAAATATCATTCCTAAAACCTGGCAACATGAAGCTAATCTACAACTCCAGATACCTAATTGGGCCTAAATGACTAGGAAAATTTAATTAAATAGCAAAAATTCACATATGCTTTAAAAAGTTAGGGCTTGAATATGAGAGACCTGAGCCTTGTCAGCGAGCTGGACCACGAGGCGGCCCACCGGGAGCGGAGATTCGTAAGTGAAACCATAGTTAATACACTCGGATCGCATGTACCGAGAGAGAACACGGCCGTCAGCGGTTAAACCGGCGATTGCAACGCCGATGTGATCGTCGACCTTAAAGATTTTCTTTTGGTGAGAGGAGAGCTCGGAGTTAGCCTTGTTGACGCAGCCCAAGACCACGTGGGTCTTGGATCGGAGACCTATTGCAGCGGAGCCTTGCTTGACCGCCTCCATCGCGTACTCCACCTGAAATAATCGGCCAGCAGGGCTCCATGTAGTAACGTCCGTGTCGTACTGGTTCCTGAACATTTTTTAGGGTTTTTTTTTTATCTAAGTCTTCGTTTTGAAGTTTGGAGAGACAATGAATGAAAGTCTGAGCTAAATCACTCTTCTTTCTGAGAGAGAAGGGAAAGGAATTGGAGGGATTTAAAAGGGTTTTCTTTCTCTTCAAGCCAGAGACATTGTATATTCGACTGTGGTTTCTCACTACTTACTGAAAGAAGGGGGTAATTCAGTACACCCAGTAGTAAGTTATGATCGAACTGGGCTATGGCTAGTATAATTGGACCACTTTCTTAGCCCATGAATAATTCCACAACTTCATTGGGCCACATTGCCATTGCTCCGTTGGGCCATATTGCAAATTAGTAGGCCTCTGCTTTGAATGGGTTTGATCTGGGCTGGTTAACATGTCAATGCTACTTTCTGGGCCTGGAAATATATCTTTCCATTCGTTGTGTTGTGCAGGCATTAAGTAGAATATTAAGATAAAATCATTTAAACATGAAAAGACGGAGAACCAAAGGAGCTCCTATGAAACGACAATGGTGTTGTTGATGTGCACATGATGTATAGTAAATGCTAACCTATGGTTGGTTCGATGTCACTTTCGTTTTTCCTCAACGGACTAACCAGACAAGATTTGAAAGTTAGATGGGCAACACATATAAAAGGTAAAACTTCCAAAAACTTGGTCAGGGGTTAACGCTGAGTTGGTAGTCACTTCGCTAAAGGAGAGAAAAAAAAAAAAGCTTATGCTTCGGCTTTATGCTTTGGATCTTGAGAATTATTATTAGATTCACCATATATATCATGCATTTAGATCTGATTGATTCACAAAAAAGCTACTCTCCTTGGATCAGATCTGCTATATATATACCAATGAAAAAGAAAAAGAAAACCATAAAATCTGTTATGAGATTGAGATGGAGTACTTGAAGGAAAGAAATGGTGAAGAAATGTAGTTAAAGGATTTTGATGTTATTGATTTAGTTAATGGTAACCGTTATATAATTGTGAAGAAAGTGATAATGAAAAGGAGAGTAGCTATAATTTGGTGGGTCCTCCCAATCACCCAAAATAGTGTATAATAATATGGTGTGGACGTTGTGTTTCATCCAAATCCTCTCCGACATATATTAAATGTATATAAAAGCTATTCATAATTCCCTGCTTTAACTTATGCCAAAGGGCCCCCTCGATTCCTAACTTATAGCAAAATGACAGTTTGAAAATTGAAACTTCACAACTGGAGCCTCCTCTCTACCAAAATAACATGATAATTAATTTAGGACCACACTGGTGATGATGATTGATAATTAAAATGGGTAAGTTCAACCGCTTGTATATGCTTGGTGGGGACAGACTATTCCCTGGTTTAGTATATCCCTACAGTCCCATGTGAACAAAACTCGGTTTCAAATCATTCTTCTTTGGAATATCAAATAATTGTCGCAAGAATCTAACCATGCAATTTACTTCTTACTAAACTATTTTTTTTAATTTTCAACAAAAAATAAAAATTCCAGCTCATTTCACGTGTGCCTACTGGCTACAACTATATCACATTACATCAACTTCAATTTACTAAAGAACCCTTTACTTTTAACTAGAATGCCGAAAATATCCTTATTGAACGGCCATGTCGGCGTCGATGATTGGTGACAGCTTAAACACGGAAAAGCAATTCGGGGTAAACGACAACAGAGAAGCCAATTTTTTTCGATAAAGGTGATAGCCAAGCTCCCATCTTACTCCCACCGGCTTTGCCGGTCACCCTTTCTCTGTCATCTAGTCAGTCATCGGCGATCTTTTTACCACAAGCGTCAACGTAGAAAATCGCCGATTGGGTCTTACCACCTAGTACATTACACACTTACACTGACATCTATTATATATTAATATATAAAATATATATATATTTTATCTCATTTTTTCATTTCTCCCTCCCTTATTTTCTCGGTCTTCTCCTCTCCTTCTGACTCTGCAGAGGGAGAAGCACATAAAGAGAGAACAAGGAGAAGATTTAGAAAATCAAATTAAACAAAAAGAAACCAGAAATGGAGTATCACAAAGTCTCCTCTCCAACTTTGTCCAAGAAACTTACGAATAGCTTTAGCTTCGGTGGAAAGAGCATATACGACGGCGTTTTCAGCGGTCCAAGAAAGGTTGTTTCGCGCGTAGAAGAAGACTACGGTGAGATATTTAGTGGCACTAGTAGCTGTTCGATTCCGATTCTTGATGTTCCGGAGCTGAACGAGAGAAAGATTTCGGTTGATGTTAACAGCTCGAAACTTGATTATTCAAAGATATTCGGTGGCTTTGGAGAGTTTGATTTTGGCGTCTCTCATGAGGAACTTCCTGTGAAACCAAAGAAAAGAGACAGCTGTATTGAAGAGGCGCGGTAAGTTGTAGTTATTTAACTGCTTTATAAGCGTTTATTCTGTTATTTTTTTTTTTGGTAGATGAAGTGGTTAACAGTTGACGTTAGGGCATGTTTGGTTGTCGGGAATATACATTTTTTTTTTCCTTTCATTTTTCGCCGCGGATGGAAAACTCGTGTGAAACTGGTTTAGTTAGTTGGTAAAAGATGAAGATGGTTCCTTAAAGCGAAAACAACTAGAGTTTTGTCATAAAATTGAAGAGTTGGCAACGTTTTTTTTATTACTGTAAATTGAAAACCCATTTTACATATCTGCTTAAGTGCTAGCAGATACAGCGGCAGGAAATGGCCGAAAAACAGTTAATAATTGTTCCAAACTAGATTCAATAGTTAAAACGAAACTCACACAATGTTATTAATAATGTAGTGGAGGAGCTTACTTTAAATGCATTTGTCATGCTGCCAGAAGTTCTCTCATAGTGGAACTTATCTATTCTATGATAGAAATACACAAAAGTTTAAGGCTTTCCCTAATTGTAAATGATCATTTTATGAGACTATGAATTTATTTTTTTATTTTTAATGTGTATATATATAGATGTTCTTGCAATAAAATACACAGACAGATCCATATTTTATATATGTTGTTTATTATCTGGTATTTGTTATTCTTTTGTTGGTAAAAACAGAGGATTAAACAACTTTGTATATATTTAGAGATGGGAAATTGATCATGATGTGCTTTTTTTTTTCTTTCATTTTGATATTTTGTAGGACACCAGCTGAAACAGGGGCACATACTTCTAACTTTTCAGTGGAAAATCAAGTGTTGTCACAAGAAGCCACTCATGAGTCATTAGATGGTGTGAAACAGTCAAAAGTGTTTTACCATAAAACCAAGGAAGGAGGAAGAAATGGGATAAACGGGACAAAAAACTTAGCTCAGTATCATGATGTGCCCGGTTATATTCGTTTAATTGATGAAGTTGCTCCCTCACAGATGAATGGAGGTGATAAGCCATTGTCTTCGGTACCAAATAACACTTACCATAATAGAAGTTTCAGTGGGGAGATAATGAAAGGCAAATCTAGCAGGAAAGCTGTGTCAACCCACTCACCTGGGGGTGCTAGAGAACAGGCTTCTGGAGCTGGTACTAGATCTAAAAATAAATCTAATAGGAGTAGATCCTATTCAAATGATATGCCATTTGATGCTTATGAAATTGGCCTTGGGAAACATCCTTCAAAAGTATCACCATCTTCAACCTCTCCACACAACACTGGTTATAATAAAGGTGATTCAAAGATACCAATGACTTCAAAGTTTGGGTTTTCTAATAGTAATTCCTCTGAAGATGCTGCAGATATTTGTTCACCGCCTTATTTTGATGAGGAAGTAGATGCAAATTCAGTTGCTGCTGCCTCTGCTGCTGCTGTGAAAAAAGCAATTGAGGAGGCTCAAGTTAGGATAAGAATTGCAAAAGAAATAATGGAAAGAAAGAAGGAGGGGCTTCAAAATCATGTGAAGTTGAGATTTAACAATGTCTCAAAGACGAAGCAGAGAAGGGAAAGTACAACTATAGATAAAGCAAACAAGTTTAGAGAAAAGGAATGGGAGAAATGTAAAGTTGATATTCAAATGCCAGTTGCCGGGGTAGGGACACAAAATGCAAAATCAAGCCAAGTGGCACTGGACTTCACAGAAAGGGATAACCTATTTTATGCCAAAGGAGCTTCTGATGAAACACATGAAAATAAAAACAAAACAACTCCAGTGGATCATAAGTGGGAAGAAGTGACTGATCGGATGGAATCAGTGAATGAATGTGAACTGAAAGAGGAAAGCTCTATTATGAATAGCTTTGGGAAGCCAGAAGAAAATGGTGAGAAATTAGAAGTTTTTGAAGCCGCTCATAAACAGGAGGAAATTGAGAGGAAGCTGAATGTTGTGGAAGGGGCTTGTGAGATGAAAGAATGTGCTGATAAACCAAAGTTGGATCAGGAGGTTCATGATCGGGAAGAAGATGGAAAGAAGTTACAGCCTCCTGGGCTGCTGGAAAAAATGGAGGTGATGTTTAAAGCATCCCGTGAAGTAGAAGCTTCTGAAAAGAAACTGAGAAGGTTTCAGGAACCAACAGCAAATCAGAAGAATGTAGAAATGCAAGGATCTAAGTACGATGAATGTATGAAGATGAGGACACCAAACTCTGAGCAGGAGTGGTTGGAAAATGAACAGAAACAAAGCGAGATATTTAAACAACAAGAAAATGATACTCAATCTGAAGATTTTCCTGAAAGGGAAGAGGATGAGGCTGGACCAAAAGAGATTTTCGATCATAAAAAAATTGGAAAAGAAGAAGAAGCGGCTTGTGAGTGGGTAGAATATGAAAAGCAACAAAAAGAAGCATGCACTGCAGAAGAAAATGTAGGACAAAGCAATGTCCACTGCAGAGAAGAGGCTGAAAAGGTATATGATAAAGCCGAGGATCTGGAAAAGATTGAGGTGAGAATGTATGATGTTCATGATGGCAAAAAATGTGACAAGAAACCAGATGAGGGTAGTGAAGTAATGAAAGAAAAGATTATAGAGCCTGAAGAAAATGTGAAGAAACTGAAAGAGGCGTATGAAATGACAGAAACTGAGAGGAGACAGAAAGAGGGTTGTGAATGCACAGGATCTGGACAAATGCAAGCAGGGATTGACCAGAAAGCAGAAGACGAGAAGATCAAAGCAACTCAAGAGGCTCTTGAGCACTGTAAGAACAATCTTGAGGCAGTTATTAATGTATTTAAGCAAGAAAAAATTGGGATTCTAAGTGATACCCTGGGACCATCTTGTCATGAAGAAAACGATGTATCTCTGGAGATACCCACACATGGAGTCAATGGGGAGGTAATGGAAGGAACTCAAGCTTCTTCTGAGTGCAAAGAGATGGAAACAGAATTAAATTCAGCTGAAGTGGCGAATGAACTGGAGACAAAAGAGGTTTCTGAAGTTGAAATAGCTGGTTTGGCTCAAGTGGTCCTTGAACACAAAGAGACTAAGGAGAAAGTCAACCATACAACTGAGGCTATTGCTTCCAATTACAATAGGGTAAATGTAGGAAACACTGATATGGGTCTGCCGCAAAAGCAAAATGATCCACGTGGAGAGGCATTCGAGACTGTGTGTAATGGTGGAAAGCATGTTGAAGAATTGGCTTGTGAATCAGAAGAAATCTTTGAGGATGCTGAGGAAGTTGATGCTGCAATTGAACAGGAAGCAGACGAGGATAACTTTGAATTTTCCAGTGAGAGTTGGGTTGACAGTGGGAAGAATATGGAGGGAACTAGGCTACCTAGCATTTTTCAAGCGGAAGAGGAAACGGCAGAGATATATAATGATATCAAGACAAGCCAGAACACAGAAAGAAATGAAGAGACCTATTCTGCCGAAGGTTATATGCAGAAAGANACTGATATGGGTCTACCGCAAAAGCAAAATGATCCACATGGAGAGGCATTCGAGATTGTCTGTAATGGTGGAAAGCATGTTGAAGAATTGGCTTGTGAATCAGAAGAAATCTTTGAGGATGCTGAGGAAGTTGATGCTGCAATTGAACAGGAAGCAGACGAGGATAACTTTGAATTTTCCAGTGAGAGTTGGGTTGACAGTGGAAAGAATATGGAGGGAACTAGGCTACCTAGCATCTTTCAAGCGGAAGAGGAAATGGCAGAGATATATAATGATATCAAGACAAGCCAGAACACAGAAAGAAAGGAAGAGACCTATTCTGCCGAAGGTTATATGCAGAAAGAAGGGGAAATAGAGAAGGAAAATTTGAGAAAAACAGATAAAATAAAAGAGAAGGAAAGGGAAAAGGAGGAGAGAATAGCTGTTGAAAGAGCAGTCCACGAAGCTCGTGAACGGGCCTTTACTGAAGCCCGAGAAAGGGCAGAAAGAGCTGCTGTTGAGAAAGCAAATGCAGAAGCACGTCGAAGGGCAATGGCTGAAGCCCGAGGAAGGTCAGAGAAGGCTTCTGCAGAGGCAAATGACAAGACTTCTATGGAAGCCAGGCTTAAAGCTGAACGTGCTGCAGTAGAGAGAGCGACTGCAGAGGCTAGGGTGCGTGCTCTAGAAAAAGCAATGTCCGAGAAGGCTGCTGTACCGGCAAGGAATCAAGCTGTAAAATCCTCTGGTGCTGCCAGAGATAATGGGACGAGACAGAGCTTCACTTCCAACGTGAGTTTCTGCACCATTTGTTAAGCCTCAATCTTCCAATGTTCTATGCGATGGCAATTTACTAATGGTTGAATCTCTTGCAGGATTCACGACATAGGAGCTCAGGTCCTACCAGAAGTTCAGGACATCCTACTTCTTCTAATAACAGTGGTATGTGATATTGTAAAGTGCTACCATTGCATATTATTATCATTATTGTATTATTATGTAGATTAGACATATTGACTGCTCTTACTGAAACGTTTGTTGTATTTGCTTCATGCAGTTCCTCGCTCTAATGATAATTTTGTTGGAATTAATGGTGAATCGGTTCAGAAGGATAAAGCTAGTTTGGAGAGGGATAAACGAACAGCGGAGCGTGCAGTAAGGCTCCTTTTTCTATTCAGAGATGAAATATGAACTTTGTTGACCTGTAACGAGAATGATGTAAACCTTCTTCTGTTCTCTTTCAGGCCAAAGCTCTTGCGGAGAAGAATATGCGTGACCTTCTTGCAAAGAAAGAGCAAGCAGAGAGAAATGTAATGATCTTATCAATTATGTTAAGTAAATTCTTGCAATTAATTCAGTTGCTTGAAAGTTTCTCTTACTCTCCTGGATTTATTATCAATGACAGAGATTAGCAGAAGCTCTAGATGCCAATGTCAAAAGGTGGTCAAGCGGGAAGGCTGGAAACCTGCGTGCACTGCTTTCAACCCTGCAATATGTACGTGCCAGCTTTCTACTTATGCTTCATAAATTTGCATCTTTATGCTTCCCACCGTTGTACAAATCAAAGTTTTAGCAGAACATGTAGATAATCTGGGTGCTGGATAGATCAAAAGTTTTTCATCCATCAAATATTTTAGTCTAGGTAATGGATGAAATTTTTTTCCTGGGCCTAGTATTCCCCCTTGTTTTGTTGCATGGTGACAAGATGACTGCATTAACTTTCCCCTGAAGGAACCCCTTTGATTTTTTTTTTTTTTTCTGGCATGGATTACATTGCACTCATCCTTCCAGCTTGGGATGCTTGATAACTAACCAGGATAGTTGTGAGTACTTGATTAATATTCTGATGCCTCCGAAGTTTTTGGGTAAAACTGACAGTTGTCACTTTTTATGATCAAATGTAGTGGAAGGCACATTGACTGCTAACCCAATGTCTTAAAGCTACTGTAGAACATTGTATGCTAGAAATGAAATCACTAATTCCCAGTCGTCTACTGTTATTGCACAATCATGTTCGTGTGAATTCTCGTGTTGCTTGTCCCCACTCCCCAGTTATGATTTCAGTAAACACCTTTTAACATGGTTAGGAGTGACTAGTCACCTTTTAGATTAGGTATAATTCGTAGTATCACTTGTCAGCAGTTGGCTGTAACTAAAGCTTTTACATCTGCAGATCCTTGGGCCTGATAGCGGGTGGCAGCCAATTCCTCTAACAGATCTTGTAGCAACTGCTGCTGTAAAGAAAGCTTATAGAAAGGCCACTCTTTTTGTTCATCCTGATAAGTTACAGCAGCGAGGTGCAACCATACAGCAAAAGTACACATGTGAGAAGGTTTTTGATCTTCTAAAGGTGTGTTGCAACATTGATTTCTCCATTTTCTTTTTTTTTTTTTTAAAGAAACTATACATTTTGGATGAGGTGTCCACAAAGAATTATCAACTCGCCTATGCTAATGTAAAACCAATTTTATTTCTTAAATGACGATACTTGCCCAAAAATAGAAAAAGATGGTCCTCAAAGAAGTTGCTGGGCAAGCTTACAGATTGTTTGAATTGCCTAATCTTTGTCATCTGTTGTCTCAGGATGCTTGGAACAAATTCGGTGCCGACGAGCGGTAGACGATTGTCTTTCAATGGAGAATTATATTATATAGTCAGGAGTACATAATTCTTAATTATGACGTCATTACAAGTAGGAAACAAGCTTTAGCCATTGTTTTTTAACACTCATTTTTATGCTGGTAAGCAATTGTCCTTCGACAATGCATTTTCTGTAGTCCAAGCACATAATATGTAACTGTACCCTATTATAACTAGTAGGAAACATGCTTTAGCCAATCTTTTTATACTTATTTGTGGAGCTCGTATAAACTATAAAGACGTACCTCCGTAAACCATTGGCGTCAAACACCATTCAACCAAAGTTTTTTCTGCCCAACATACATGGGCACCGTAAAACACGAATGTATATCAACTCCGCCAGCTGCTCAGCTGTTCTAAATGATTTATGATTCCTATGGTGATGAGAACTGTAGCACGAAATAACATGAATACGAGTACTAATTCGATTTAAACCACAGTACCTACTTCAAAACTCAATTAAGGAAATATACGGTAAAACACAAGCTCAACCCATTTTTACACCTGCTCTACTGAAATATGAAGCTGTAAATTTAAAGGGTTTGAAATGGTTGCAATTTCAGAAGCCTTCAAAAAGTAGACACTAGTCATGAACATGAAGCGGATTGGCACAATTACAAGCCAAGTACGTGAAGCATTATTGCATTCTGTGCATGCATCCGATTCTCAGCTTGTGGGAAGACAACGGAATTTGGAGCTTCAATAACACCATCAGTCACCTCTACTCCCCTTTCAGCAGGCAAGCAATGCATGAAATAAGCTTTTGGGCCTGCTAACTTCATGAGAGCTTCATCCACCTGCAAAAATTTGCCAGTAAAATTATGCAGGGCATAGACTTGAAGCAACAATCACTTGACTAGTATTCNCTATTGTCTCAGGATGCTTGGAACAAATTCGGTGCCGACGAGCGGTAGACGATTGTCTTTCAATGGAGAATTATATTATATAGTCAGGAGTACATAATTCTTAATTGTGACGTCATTACAAGTAGGAAACAAGCTTTAGCCATTGTTTTTTAACACTCATTTTTATGCTGGTAAACAATTGTCCTTCGACAACGCATTTTCTGTAGTCCAAGCACATAATATGTAACTGTACCCTATTATAACTAGTAGGAAACATGCTTTAGCCAATCTTTTTATACTTATTTGTGGAGCTCGTATAAACTATAAAGACGTACCTCCGTAAACCATTGGCGTCAAACACCATTCAACCAAAGTTTTTTCTGCCCAACATACATGGGCACCGTAAAACACGAATGTATATCAACTCCGCCAGCTGCTCAGCTGTTCTAAATGATTTATGATTCCTATGGTGATGAGAACTGTAGCACGAAATAACATGAATACGAGTACTAATTCGATTTAAACCACAGTACCTACTTCAAAACTCAATTAAGGAAATATACGGTAAAACACAAGCTCAACCCATTTTTACACCTGCTCTACTGAAATATGAAGCTGTAAATTTAAAGGGTTTGAAATGGTTGCAATTTCAGAAGCCTTCAAAAAGTAGACACTAGTCATGAACATGAAGCGGATTGGCACAATTACAAGCCAAGTACGTGAAGCATTATTGCATTCTGTGCATGCATCCGATTCTCAGCTTGTGGGAAGACAACGGAATTTGGAGCTTCAATAACACCATCAGTCACCTCTACTCCCCTTTCAGCAGGCAAGCAATGCATGAAATAAGCTTTTGGGCCTGCTAACTTCATGAGAGCTTCATCCACCTGCAAAAATTTGCCAGTAAAATTATGCAGGGCATAGACTTGAAGCAACAATCACTTGACTAGTATTCTTGGCTCATTAGCAGATAGCAGATAGCAGATAGTTAAATTTTTTTCCAATACAATAGGGTATTAGCAATATTCTATGCACACCTATCTGGCAGGCCAGAAATACATTTAAAATACTTGAAAAGCTTGATGCCACGGATATAGAAGTGAATATTAATATATAAACAAGGCAAACTTTACTAAAACAAATAGTACCTGAAATCCTTGAAAAACTTGGCGACGATATGCAGCCTCTTCCTTTTGCCCCATGCTGGCCCACACATCAGAGTACACAACATCAGCACCTTGGACAGCTTCTTTTGGATCATTTGTAATCTCAATCTTGCTAATTCCGGCATGCTGAGCCTTCTCAATTGTTTGTCTATCTGGTTCAAAACCTTTTGGGCAAGCACAAACAAAGTGGAAAGGAATAACCGATGCCAACAACAACCAAGAATGCACAATATTGTTTCCATCTCCAACATAGACAACCTGAAAGTTGCATTACCATCAAACAGTTAGGCTGCAGCACATAAAACCAAATATCCGATCCAAGGTGTAGGAAGATAAACAGAAATCACATGAAACTGATGGGCTAACCTTGGTTCCTTCCAAATGACCAATGTGTTCAATAATGGTGAGGGCATCAGCCATTATTTGGCAAGGATGGTTGTAGTCTGTCAGGCCATTGATGACAGGTACAGTAGCATATTTAGCCAGATCAAGAATGTCCTGCACCAGAATAGGTAATATTGGTAAGAGGATAGTGAATATTGACTTATTTTCCTAATTTATTTCAGTTTTCCTCTATATTGTTAATTGTATGTGTAAACAGCACCAAACCTGACATAGGGAACTCACCAGCATACCTGATGAGCAAAGACACGAGCCATAATAATGTCATTGTAGCGACACAAAACACGAGCAACATCACGTGTCTCCTCTCGCTTGCCCATCTGGATATCATCTGGTCCTAAATATATAGCATGACCTCCCAACAATGAAAACCCAGCCTCAAACGATACCCTTGTTCTCATGGATGGCTTGGCAAAGATCATTGACATTGTCTTCCCTTTAAATGGCAGAAATGTCCTGTCTCCTGATTTAAGCAGTGCCTTGACCTCAGCAGCCCGGTCTAAAATCTTCAATATGGTGTCTTTGTCAAAATCACTAATGTGCAAAAAATCCTTCAGCTCTGTTTTTGCTGTAAAAGACAAAACCCAACGAGCCATACTGTTGATCAGCAGTTCTTTGGTTTGCAATTCAATTAAAGAAGACAAAGTGCTAAGACATGTTTTGAATTAAAATAATAAGACCAACGCTTATTTGCACATACCTTAACACATTAACACGAGGACTGCAAACATTTTCATGATAAACTCCAACAACATGACAGCGTATGGAAACATAGGGTTTTTTTATAATAAACTGAAAAAACTTACATAAAATGAAGAAAGATTTAAAAAGTAGAGAACAAGCTGCCACGGTAAATTTATACACAGATGGATCATGAACAGCTTAAAGAAACAAAACGACATTGTAAAAGAGTCCACTGCATTCTCAAATCATGAATTTCAAACTTCGCAAGACAAATAATACTTCAAGCAATATTAGCTACAGAAATAAACATGTAAAAGTTAAATGATAAAATAAAATAAAAACTGAACGCTCTACTGTTGAATAACATCAGCATTTCCGATTATTAAACCCTAATTCACGTGAAACTATTTAGCGATATTGTCTAACATTTCACTCATGCATGCCTTTAAAGCAAGTTGAATCTCAAAATTAAACAAAGTCTTAACAATATTTCCGGTCGATTCAACACAAACACCAACATTCCAACAAACAATCACACAATCTGCTTATTAGAAACAACAGCACTTACAAGATATCAAATAAAACACACTAAGAATCGAAAGCGAACACTAACCTTGTCCATTGACCAAAGATTGAGCTGACGTGACAGAAGAGGCCTGGCACGAGATAGTTCTACGGAGAACCGGAAAAGTCGGGGGAGGAGAGACCGAGGCGGCGAAGAATCGCGAGTATTTGGGGTGAATCCTTCCTGAGAAAGACGAAGACGAAGCCGAGAGAGCCATTTTGTCCGATCCAAGTGCACAGTTACCAGAAATCGCCGCCATTGTTTTTGGTGGGAAGAGCTTCGGGAGAGTGTAAAATGTAACTGGAGTGGTTTTTGTACTGGTTATGCAGATTAATAAGGTTGTGTTGACGCAAATGCCCCTGATGTGGGGACCACTCAAACGTTTCTTTTATCCTCATCTCAGTGACTCAGTCATGATTGTTTCAAAACCACTACGATGAGTAAGCCAATTGTATACCGCCACGTAAGCAACTTCCACAGAGGCTTCGTAATTGTATCACTTGAGCATGAATATGTGGACCTACCCATGGATAAGGTTTTAAAATGCTTTTGCTTTTTATTTAAAAAAAAAAAAAAATTATTTTCATAAAATGGTAATTAAAATCATTTTCTGTTTTCAATCCAAACATTTAATTTTTTTTTTTTTAAATATCAAATATATTATCAATAAAACATTTCCAATATAGTTTATTCCATTATGTGTATCAATCAAAGTGCAAATGATTAAAAAATAGATATAGTAGGCAAATATGTTTGATCATTTGATATTATTAAATTATGTTAGGTTAACCCAAAAAATTAGGTGAGAGAACTCTAAATTAATAGGTTTAAGTACCACAATTATTGAGTCCGACATATGAAATCTCAATGTAATATCCTAACATTTCATCCCTTTTATGAGTCGACATCCACGATCGACCCTGACTCGACGTTAATCCTTTTCCGTTTTGATGGCTTCACTCACCTAACAATAACATTGCAAATGCCCCTGATGTGGGGACCACTCAAACGTTTCTTTTATCCTCGTCTCAGTGACAGTCCATGATTGTTTCAAAACCAATTGTATACCGCCCACGTAAGCAACGTCCACAGAGGCTTCGTAATTGTATCACTTGGGCATGAATATGTGGACCTACCCATGGATAAGGTCTAAAAATGCTTTTGCTTTTTATTTAAAAAAAATATTTTCATAAAATGGTAATTAAAATCATTTTCTGTTTTAAATCATTTTTTTTTTTTAAATATCAATTATCAATAAAACATTTCCAATATAGTTTATTCCATTATGCGTATCAATCAAAGTGCAAATGATTAAAAAATAGATATAGGTGTTACTAATTATTTTAGGTTAACCCAAAAAATTAGCCTATGACAGGTGAGAGAGCCCCTAGACTAGTAGGTTTAATTATCACAATTGTTGGGTGTGATTTATGAGATCCGGTATAGGATTCTGGTTTTACTCACCTAACATTGCATCCCCTCTCAAGAGACAGACACATGCACGATTGACATTGACTTAAAAGCACCAATGCTAGGATTAAAACCCAAGAGGGAGCCAAATTAAAAAAAGTGGCCTGATAGATGGAAGAGCTTCTAGACTTAAATATGATATTTGGTGAGTGTGAGATCCTGGCGTAAGATTCTATTGGATTATATTTTCAAATAATAAATAATCTATTAAAATTACTTTGACAAAAAATGTAAGAATTTTAATTTAACTTTAGAACAATAGGTTGCTGCATGAAATAATTCTGTTTCTAAATAACTAATTCAAATTAAAATATAGCACATAGTCGCCATCTTATCATCAATTAATCGATCTTATCATGTTATTTGATTTACAATAATTACGTAATAAAATTTGGTAATCTTATTTAATTTCAGTTGGCTCACTGATATGATATTAGCCACAACGTATGTGTAACTGATCATCGATTGGATTTTTTTTATTGTTGTTATTGTTGTTGTTGTGCGAGTGTGTTTGAGGTTGTCTCAATTAGTTTGCGCATCTCAATTAATCCCTTAAGGCCCTAAAACTGATAATCGGATAAATTCTCTCAGTTATCACTCTTATTAGTAACTCAGATGGATCAGACTCATGACCTCTTGAGTTATACTCCCAAAAATTCTGATTGACCAATGAATCATCTAGTAGTGGTTTAGATCCGGTTGATTACCAGGTTGTTAAGTAAATTGAATCTCTCAAATATCCACCAATTTTAATATATTGAAAATACTGCATCCTGAAATGTAATGGGTCCGTCCTTTCCAACCTGGGAATTGCCCTCTAATTATAAAGGGAAAATGTTTTATGAAACACATGGTAATTGAATCACTTAATAAAGAGTTAACAACTTTTTTCCATTCAAATAATGATTTAATAATATTTTCTCACCCTTAAACTTTTAAAATATTATTTTTTTATCTAAAAAATACGCTTTTCGATTCAACAATGAATAGAGAGCAAATTTGGTCAATTCTTTTAGGTTTTTTTAAAGAAAGGCGGTCGATAAGTCTTTTGATGGTTGTGATTAGTCAAAATTTATCAGTATTTGACTTGAGAGAAGCGATTGCACAAACCTTAATTGCTCAATTACCAGCGATTAGCAGGATCAATGAGAATAAAGTTTGAAAGATTTTGATAAGTGATGATAGGGGAAGATAGTGGTAGTAGTGTATAGTGGTAATAGTGTGGAGTCGCAACAATGTCAGAATTGGCCGACAATTGGTGAGATCAACATAAAAGTGCCAGTAAATGTATTTTTTTTGGATAAAAAAATGGTATTTTAAAAGTCTAAAAATGTAAAAGTGTCATTAAACTATTATTTAGGTGAAAAAAAATTCAGTTTACTCCTTAATAAAACTATAATTAAAAAAGGATTTTATTCTACCCAAACACAAGATGAAAGACATGATATAATTGTACGTATAAGTATAACATACACGATTTTCATACAAATCGTACGTTAACTTACGAAACAATAGATTAATTTTGAAATTAAATGTCAAAATCAATCTAAAATCAATTACAATAAAGTCTTCAGTAGAATAGTAACTGACAATTATATGTTTATTCTAAGACATGATTGATTATAGAGGCGTGACAGGATTTTATAGATCAAAAGATGCGCTGCTTAAAACACGAAAACTCGGTGATACGATTTTTTGGTGGGCATTCGTCAACTACTCATTGACGCGGTTTTCATGAGAAAGAGGAAGCAGTCCTTTGGCTCTGCAAGTCTCCACAGCTCCTGTATACATATCTTCCAAGCTGTATTTGAACTCAAATCCTAAATCCGTAAGCTTTTTAGAAGAGAATCTGCAATTTTCAAAGTTGTCGTCCACGCCTTTGAACCTAAGCAACAGTGCTTAATCAATTAGCCAGAAGCATAAAATTGAGAAATAATGGCAATCAATTAATGATAGCTAATTTACTCATAAGATGGCTTTAGGCTTACTTTGTGGGAACATTATATTCTGGGTATTTTTCTCTGAGCATTTTCGCAACTTCAAGAATAGTGGCTGCATCTGAAGAGCAGATGTACCGACCCTTCGCCTCAGGTTTCTCAAACAAAAATATATGAGAGTTGCAGAGATCATCCAAATGCACAAACTGGCCTTGTTTTATAATTGAATAATGATCTTCATTTCCTGTACTTAAAAAAAAAAAAAAAAGTAAAGTCTAGTTTCATAAAATTATGACAATGGTAAGTATATATATATATACAGAGGACGAACCAGTAATTGGTGAAAGTGCAGTGATCAAACTAGGAGGCATTGATGGCATCAGAAATGGACCAACCACAAGAGATGGTATTATACTGATAAAATCAATGTTGTTCTCTTCAGCGAATTTCCACGCCGCTTGCTCGGCCAGAGTCTTGGATACAAAATACATCTAGTTCCCACAAACAAATTGACAAGTTTAATAACGATGAGCACATCCTTCTGTTTGTAAAACGAAAGAAATTAAATAGGTTAAGAAAATACAAACCCATCCAGTCATCTTTTTGGACAGGACAAATTCCATGTCACTCCAACTGGTTTCATCGTAAACTGACTTTTTGTGTTCTTCAACATCCAGAGTTCCTGCAGATGATGTGAATACCAGTCTTCTCACTGTTTTTGCGTTTTTACATGCCTTCATGATGCCCAGCATTCCATTTATTGTTGGCTTTATCATTTCATTCTGAAACGCACAAAAGTTAACTTCTTTGATAAATTGAATATAAAGTAAAATCTGGAGAAGATAATAAATATTTGAGTTATTCCAAAAGCAATGAGTCAATCACAGAGTCACTGTAAACAGTGACCAGTTACAGAATCTTCGGCAAAAAAGTACGAGAATCTAATGAACAACTCCAATTGGGCCCTCTCCTGATTCTTGATTTTCCATGTTAATTACTTAGAAGATCATGTCACGTACCTCTGGGTCCTTAGCATCAAAAAACATGGGTGTGGCAACATGGAAAACTCCTGTGCATCCTTTAACTGGTTCATCAAAGCTTCCTTCTTCTGTCATATCGGCTTTCCACAAAGTCAGGTGTGTCTTTGCTTTTGGCAACTCCAGCAAGTGCTTCACTTTATCCAAATTATCTGCCAAGATGAAAATTTGGTTAGAGATCACTAGTTTTTCAATAATCAGAGACTGGTGACATCATGAAATTAGAAAAAGGAAGGAAGCTTACTAGGATCCCGCACAGTGGCTCGAACAGTATAATCTTTCTCTAAGAGTCTCATGATAAGCCATGAACCGATGAAGCCTGCCGCACCAGTCACGCACACAATCTCAGACTCTGAAACCATGTTTGTTGGCTACAAATTAATTAGTTCTCTGTGTGTGTGTGTGACTGGCTACTTAATTTTCCGTTATTATTTGTGTGAACCCCAATCCAGATTGTTTTATAGTAGATGCTAATTCGTTCTTTCCATGTAATTTTCCGGGCACACTGTCTACCACGTGATTAACTAATGGTTACTCCACATGTGTGTGTGCGTGTGGTAGTTGCATCTGCTCCCACCACGTGCCTCACTCACTTTGTCTATCCTCTTATCTTCTTCTTTTCTATGTTTAGTAAATAGATTGTAATCTTGGTTGAATGAATTGATTAGTGGGTTCCGTGTTAGGTTAGTTGTAACAACAAGGACATATAGTGAGTTTAATAATTATGGTGTGACCTTTATTGTCAGTTGTTCAGCTTCTTGTCGCACTGCAGCATTAAATTATTTTTAAACTTAACTTAGTCGTGCAAACTGCAAAGTGCAAACAATGACGGAGCTACATTCGGGCCTTTGGGGTGGGCCCCCCAGGT